CAAACTTTATGGCCATTAAAGCCCCATGCAAGCTATAGGATGTCATTTTGGCATTTTAAGCTTCAAAAGGCCATGCATGGAGAGAAAGGTGGAAGCTTTACGTGTTCATGTAGTATCTAGGGTCCAAATCTCAGTATATATGCCTTAGTATGGAGTAGTGATGGCTTGTGGACCAAGATCTAGGTTCTTAAGAATTAGGGTTTGAGCTAAATTCATTAAGTAAGAGTATTAACGGGGTAAATTTGGAAACTTTACCCTTAAAAGGACAATTTCAGTGTATAGGTAGGGTATAGGGCTTAGATCTGAAGAATAAGGGCTTAATCCATTGAGATGAAGCAACAGACTGAAGAACTCGGCGAGTCCATGGAGGAACTCGACGAGTTGGGATGAAGTGTCCCGATTCTGTTAAAGGCAAAACTCGACGAGTTCAAGGATGACTCAACGAGTTGACTAGGAGAAGTCCCGATTCTGTAGATATGAGGAACTCGACGAGTTGTGAAAGAACTCGACGAGTTGGATCGCGATTTCAGGGTTTATGATTCATGGAACTCGACGAGTTGATGGACCAACTCGGCGAGTTGAGTCAACCCAGGATGTTGACTTTAACCTTGACTTTGACTTTGACCAAGGTTGACCCGTGAAGGGGTTTTGAGTATGGAATGTTATCTAAGAGGTTGTTCTGTATAAGGTGTGAGTAGAGCCGGTTGCAGAGCAAGGACTTTCAGCTATTCACGACATTGAGGTGAGTTTCCTTCAGTAGGAACGGGTCTACGACACCAAGGTCGGCCCGTATATATGATCTGATTTGTAGTTGAGTGTAGGCGGGGCCCGTATCTCATAGATAGCTGATATGGTACAGATTTATATGCTTAGTTATACTTGTTGTCTCTGTGATACCTGTATGTATTTTCATGACTAGCTGAGTGTGGGCGGGACCCGTATCTCATAGTAGCTGAGTGTGGGCGGGGCCCGTATCTCCTAGTTGCATGTTATGTGTATGGTATGTGGTAGTTTGGGGAGACTCACTAAGCTTCGTGCTTACAGTTTTTCAGTTTTGGTTTCAATTACTTCCGGTAGCAAGGGGAAGAGCTCGAGATGATTGCAGTGCACGCACCGTTTGTTTAGCCTAGGATGTTTGATAACTCTGGTTTTTCTTAATGAATTAAAATGAAAAGTTTGGTCTATATTTTTGGGATGTTACAATTTGGGTGAAACTCACTAAGCTTTGTGCTTACGGTTTTCAGTTTATGTTTTAGGTACTTCTGGTGCAAAGGAGAAGAGCTCAGGGTGATTGCAGTGCACACACTATTTTATTCCGCATTCTTATGATTACTTTGATGTTTTATGATCGAGATGATACATTTGAATTTTCTATGGTTATGATGATGTTTGGATAACTGTTTTAGTTGATTAAAAATTAAAAGTTTTGGTCTATATTTTTGGGACGTTACATAGTGGTTGTTTTTTAAATGCATGCAAACTGATGATGAATATTATCTAGGAAGCATTCCTTCACACCCATATTTAAGAGATTATGATCGAATAGCAGTATAATAATATTATTACATGATGTTAATTTGGCATGTAATGATATTAGATTTGTGAAGCTATATATTTTATATATTTAATTAATAACTAAATTATTTCTGAGAACTTTCAACTCAAAGGCTTCATAAAGTGAAATTTTGGTTTCCATTGGTGAGGACTTTGAAGCCTTCGGTTGATTTTACAATAATTGTTTGGTTGTGATGATGAAGTTTTTTGTATACTATAAAATCATCTTATTCTCTTTTTGTCTTCGGACTAAGCAGGTGATTTAAGTTTTACTTAATAATACAACTTGCTTTAATTTACAGACTTTTTACTGCATTGCTGAGTTGGAAAAGGCCTGCGAGTTTGTGGGATATCTCTGTATTTTCTTGTGCTTCTTATATATATATATATATATATATATATATATATATATATATATATATATATATATATATATATATATATATATATATATATATATAGACCACATAAATGGTGGATGCACATGGTGTTTGGAGAATATGAGTAGTAAGTCTTTTAGTATCATTTTGTGACCTTTTGGGCCTATGCATCTGTTTGGACAAATTTACAATAGTTTAAGTGCCCTAATTTTATTTTATTTTCATTTCTTTTCTTTTCAGTAAATTTTGTCACTATTAAACTGTACTTTTGGTGCTTCTCAATTGTGTCTTTTTGGTGAAAGTATGTTGTTACTTACCAATGTTTTTGTTGTGTTTGTGGACACCATAAGTAGAAGACGATAAATCCCTACAAAATGGTAATAAATCTGACTGTAATCATTTTTCTTTGGTTCCATTTTTCTTATTTTTCAATTTCCATTTCCTAAAATGTATAATTTTACTTCTTTTATCGGTATACATTTTACAAAAGTTTATCAAACTTTCCTTGTCCTTTTTAGGTATTAACGACGGAAGGAGTCCGTGTAACAGATGAGGTGATTGATTTCTTCCACTTTGTTAAGTTTCATTTTCGTGATTATAAACTAAATTACAATTTTAGTTTTTGGAATTAGCAGTTAAAAATGGTATGGATTAGTTAGATTTGTTAATGATGAAAAAGATACAAGATGATTAGTCTTGAAAAAAAATAATTTCATGTGGGGGATTTATTTACAAATTTACCCTTCTTTCATTTCGGATTTGAAGAAACCACATAGCTATCAATCTGTTTAAGTGATGGTAAGATCATTGCTACTATAGATTAAAAATAATAATAATAACGTTGCTATATGCCCATTAAATCCTACTATTCATTCCTGATTCTGTGCAATTGAACAATAGAAACATTCATATTATTCCCACCAAATAACCAAAAAATAATGCTACTTCTTGCAAAACTTACTCATGTAATCCCTTATAATCCGGAAATCGTATATGTTAGTGCTACTTTTTTAGGATAAATTTGTTAAATTTATAAACTTACCTACTTCATCCCTTAAAATCAGTATTGTCATACCATTTAAGACATTTGAGATGCATGAAGGTAAATTGGTAATGATCTTGATGAAAAGTTTATCTTTTGGTTATATTTATCTTTTCAATGTTATCTGGAATTGGCTTATCGTGAGTCTAACCGAATGTAGTAAAAAAAATTATGTTTATATTATCACGATTTGCAATATTTGTAACTGGTTGTATCATATTTTTTGTGATATGCAGAAAAGGCACCAGGTGCCACACAATTTTAAGAAGTAATTAAGTTCAAGACTAAGAAGGCTTCTTGACACACGGGGCCTTCCATTTTTTGGTTATAAATGCAGTAAATAGCATTGTACTTTCAATTTATAGCTTTTTTCCTTTTTTTTTAAACAAATTTGGTTTGTTTTTTTTTCCAAAAAAGAAACACCAACTAGCCATGTACTTTGAATTTTATGTTGTCACTTGAGGGGCCAAAGTTTTGATTGCTCCTTACATAGCTATTGGGACAATAGTTGTTGGGACAGGAGGGATATCCCTGTAATTTTACGTCTTATGATCTTATCTAAAATGACATTTTACTTTCTTTAGTCTATTTCATTTTTTTTAATTAAATTTGAATTGTATGTTTTTGCTATGTAATTCACATCCAACCCATGCAAAGCATCGGCACCTACACTAGTTGATTATTCAGTTGTTATAATCTTTATTTTGTATCTTTTAACTTTGCTTATTTTAAAACACTTCTAATAATAGATTATTAACCTCTGAAACAATACAAAAGGTATATATATATATATATATATATATATATATAATATATATATATATATATATATATATATATATATATATATATATATATACAATTGTTCACAAATGTGACTGTTCAGGAAAATATTTGCACTAAAAATGGTGTACTGGATTGCAACTTGCAAGCACCACCTTGAGCGTTAGGACTGTTCACTATTTGGATAAAACTGAATTGTCCAATTGGACAATTTGGATTGGATTGTCTGGTTCGGATATTCGGATTTTTGGATTGGTTTTCAACAAAACCAAATTATTATTTTGGATTTCGGATTGGTTTTGGTTTATAAAATAATAACCGAATAGTCCAAAAAAACCAAATAAACATTTATTATTTATTTATTTTTAATATATATCTATAGTTATTTATTAATTTTGTAATTTATCCTTTAAAATACGTTCAAAACGTTTCATCCAATAAAAAACATTAATATGTATTTTCTCTCAAAAGTTTTCTATCTATAAAATATTTAACTATAATATATTTTCTTAGTAGTTGTTTATAAATTTCAAATCACAACTAAATAATTTGTTTTCATTTCTTTTGTAAAATTGGGTAATATTATAATTATATGTCGTTTTAAAATGTTTCGTTTTTGAAAACCGAATTATAAAAACCGATCCAACTGAATTGTAATTGGATCGGATCGGATTTGAATCTAGTTTGGACTATTCATATCCATGTTTTGAAAACCGAAATCAATTTGGATTCAGTTGATTGGATCGGATCAAACCGATCCATTCAAACAAACACCCCTATTGAGCGTATACGTAATGTTTAAAGAAACCAATCCCAAGCTCGAGTTTCTCAAGTTTGGCTATAAGATTTAGACCTAATTATGATTATGAATGCTAATAGGATACACATCTATTAATTGTTGGTTAGGCATGTGTGGTACTATTTCATGACATTGTTAATTAGGCTTCTGTGCCATATTAGTACTATTGCTTACACTTTCTTTGAACATCGTCTATATATAGTTCTATTTCAACCCACTCCTACTAGTTGCACATAATACCCCCATATATAGTAAATCCGGAAGAAAAACAACATGCAAAATGCACCAGCCTTGAGCCTTCATATTATAAACCTCATCGAACCCGTTTCAAACAAAATTTGTGTATGTAAGTAGCACGATGGAGGGTTGAACCTTACGTGGGTCTAGCATCATTAGTATTGATTATAGTTTCTTTGAGCATCATCAACAGTTTTATTCTGCCTCACTCGGGCCGGATAACATCACCGGGGTAAATCTACAAAAAAACACAAAAAAAATGCACTAGGCTTTATGTTAAGTTTGACTTTAAATTGTTTGGGATCCAAATGGATCTTGACCCGACCCGACCTGGCACGACAAATTGAAAAATGCGCTAAGGTTTATGTTAAGTCTGATTTTCAAGATCATCAATAGTATCTTGATTTTAGTATGACGTGTGTCTTATATAGATGAAAAACTCTCAATGGGGTCCACTCGTGGCGCCAATTTTTCTGTTTTGGCCTTAGATTTCAAGATTCTCCAATTTATGCTCATTTCCCGTTTTAATTTATTTTTTTGTATAGTTGTAAAATCTCGTGTTTTCCTTTATTTCCGAAAATCACATAATTAGTTAGGTTGTGTTTAGTTACGGAAAAGCAATTTTTATTTTCCGTTTTCAGTTTTCATTGGAAAATTTAGAAAACATGTTTAGTTAAAATTTATTTCTTTTTTCATTTTCGGTTTAAGAAAATTAGAAAATGTGATTAGATGTGTATTTTTCTATCGGTTTTTATTTTTAGAAAACGATAGTCATGGTAGGGTGGGGATGGGTGGAGGGGATGAGGTGGTGGTGGATGTGGTGGTGGCAGTGGTGGGGGCAGTGGAGGTGGAAGTGGTTGTGTGAATGATGACGATGGTGGTGGTGGTGGCGATGATGGTGATTTTGGAGGTAATGGTGGTAAGGGTGGTAGTGGTCGTGGCGGTGTGACGGTGGTGGTGGTGATTGTGGCGGTAGTGGGGGTGATGGTGGTAATAGTGGTGGTGGCGGTAACGGTGTAGTGGTGGATGTGATGGTAGGTCGGAATTTACGGTAGTGGTGTGTGTGTGTTTGTGGGGGTAGTGGTGTTGGTGGTGGGGTGTGTGTGTGTGTATGTATGTATGTATGAATGTATTTGTGGGGGTGGGGGCGGGGCAAGCTTGGAAGTGGGTGGGTTGGGGTGTTAGGGTGGAGGTATGTAGAGGTCGGTTGGGTGGGTGTGTGTTTTATATTTTTGAAATTTTTTGGAATTAGAAAAATATGGAAAACAATGATTATCGGTTTTTCAAAATTTTCTAAGCTTTTTGTAATTTTAAAAAACGGAAAATTTTCATTTTCCATGAAAATTTTAGAAAAATTATTGAACTAAACGTCGTTTTTAAAATTTTTATTTTTCTTGAAATTTTTTTCCGAAAAAGAGCTCATTTTTCGGGTAACTAAACCCACCTTTAGTATCTTGATTTCATTAATTTCTAATCAAATTTGATTTTCTATAATTTTGTAGTATTTGTCGAATTTAGCTGCTCTAACTTGTAAAAGGGATCGAATGTATCCCTGTTAAGGCATAGTGTTGTTACTTCTATTCTGCGTCAGTTAAAAAAAAAAACATACCTGGGTTCGTTTATCTTCGTTGAAGCTAAGATTTCGAATCTTGATCTCGCCTCTATTTGTAGTCATTTCATCTAATATTTCAGCATCACACAACGTCACTTCATCTTCATCGTTCTTGCTATCAACACCATCAATTTCCTGATTATATATACATGTATTTTCTCATGAATGTAGAAAATAAGAAAAACGATATGCTAAGTGAGATACATTATATGAGCACGTACCCTAAGATTAAAGCTGGTATGTCTTGATGGCCCACCCACAATTTCCTCATACTCGGCTGCATCCAGTTCACTCAAATGATAAGGATGAAACAGCTTTGGTAGAATGTGTTGTCGTATGGTTATCAGAAGGAAGAATGGAACAGGGAAGAGAATCCCCGCAATAGGTATCCATGTCACACCGAAACACGTAAGGAAATACACAATCTGGAAGATCGTGAACATGACAATGGTTCTATATGGCACAGATTCAACAAAAGAAGCATGAACCCTTTCAAGAACCCTGACAAATTTTGATGATGAAACATTGAAACATTGATATAAGTAATAAGGATGACTTGGAGTGCAAGAATGAAATGTTAATTGTTAATTGTTAACTCACTTGTATCTTCGACTATGGGGAACGAAAATAAGCAAGATTCTTTCCCAGAATTGGTTTCCAGGAAGACTGTCGATGGCCATGTAAGCAAAATATCCCCATAAAACCGATGTGGGTATCAATTTTATTAAGGGCATGCCACATATAGACAGTGCTAAGAGAATCGATTGTAGAAAGTTGCTGACCCTTTGCTCATTGACACGGACAGGTAAGTAGGCATCGATGTGTTTCTCAGGATCAAATTTCTCCTTCATGTTTTTTCCTTCGATTTCTACATTCATGACTGCTTCCTGCAAGTCTCGTAGTTCTTTAACTATAACATTTTTCTGCAATGAAACAAAACCAATTGAAAAGATTTCAAGGAGATCGAAATTGAAGATAATGCTTGTACGAATAATAGATGGAAATTTTACAATTGGGGAGTTGTCGATTTCTATGAACACGTTTTGCATCTTGTTGTACATTTCAGAATTGCTAGCTTTCTGTTTTATGCTTTCATTAGCACTCTCCACCATCTTCTTTCTGATAAGCTAGAAGTAAACCATTTAAAATCCATTAGTGAATGCAGAAATCAAATGTTAAGGAATAATTTTCCCCCTTAGATCACTTACCTGTCTTTTAAGAACTGCTAGGCTTTTAGAGTGCATGGGGGACTGAGGCAAGACGCCATTTGACGGGGGTAGTCCAATTAATCCACAAAGCAGTGTCTAGATAATACAAGAAGTTCAAGTTGGCGGGATAAAAAGGATAAATTAAGGTCAATAATAACAAGAAATAATGGGTACCATAAATCCAAGTAAGAAAATGTCATAATGATAAGCAGATGGATTCTTGAGATTGAATTCTTTTTGCTGAGCCAGTTGTGAAGCAACACTATGATCAAAGAAATAAAGCCCGGCTATCATAACAGCTGGGATGAAGGCAGCCAAGATATAAACCGGAGGAACCTTGCCCATGTCCTACAAGTCATTCATTATAAGAAACTAAAGGTTATATATGCTGCAAAAAATTTCACCAAACTAAACAGAAATTTGCAAAGATGTACCTTGATTACAGTCCAATGGTATAAAGATTCAGAATCCCATAAGAGTGGGCTAAAGAGCCTTCTTGGAACACCAGATGGAATTTTGCTTGGTACACAGAAAGAGAGTGTTGTCCACACTACAACCATCAATGGAACCCCATAGTCTGCTATGAAGCTTCTAACACACCCTGTATTAAGTATTAACAACAATAACTAACTACATGTTAAGATGATATAGAAAATAGCTAAGCCACCAGGTTGCAATAAACTTGATATACCTGTTCCATACAACCAGGATCTTGCTCTCCTACTTCTTAATGCGGTGTATAGAAGTCCAAACGAATAAATAATACCAAGCAAGCCATTAGTGTAAAGCCACTGAAAGTGATCTTTAACTGATTTTGGTTCATCAGATTTGGGAGTTTTGAACTCGCTCACCAGTCCCTAGTCAACAAAACCAGAATTAGTCTAAACAAACTTGAAATATTTTCTCAAATTATCATCATCGGAACTTTTTTTCTACATGGCTAAATACCTTGATGGCCTCTTGAATGAAAAGTACAGAAATTAACATCCCAAATGTTTCCCCTGCAATCCTCGTGAATCTGGTGATAATAGCACAAGCATTGAAAATCGCCAAAAGAAACAACAATAGAGCTGTCCATGTGCATACCCTACAAAAGTTGTATATACATTAATTGCTATCAACATATTCAAAATTGGAAGATGAAAGAATTTGTGAAAACAGGAGGCATGTGGTGAAGGGATTTCTAAAAATATTACCATCCTGCCCAAGCTAAGAATAGTTGTTGACCCAAATCTTGCCTCCCTTTGGCAAAATTATACAAATATGTATACATTATGATTGTAGGTTCTGCAACTCCAAGTATAAGAAGAGGTTGACCACCAAGAATAGAGTGTATGATGCCACATATAGCAGTAGAAGCCAAAGTCTCCACAGTGCTCAAGCTTCCATCTAGATATATATTATATATGAAAAAAAAATGATACTTTTGTTGATATACAAAAACATAAATGTTTTTATACATGGAGAGTTAAAAGATGGTTCAGAAAGTGTCGTGCCTGTATCTCTGCTAAGTTGCTCTCCAAAAGCAATGACCGGAAGTGCAGAAGCAAAGAAAATGTAAGCTGTTGGAGCTAATATCCTACAATGTCATTGAAAGTTAAGAATCGATTAAAAGGGCAGTATAATTTTCTATATGTTTATGGAAAATTAAGATTAAAAGATAGTACGTGTATTGAAATGAACATTTAGATCAGTTAAATATATAACTTACCCAATTCCAGACTTAATACCAGCAATCCAATCTTGTTTGTAACACGATGCTCTTCCTCTAATGTCCCTTGCTATCCCTCTGAATGGAGATTTCATGTTCTCCATTCCTGATATCATTGAAAAACAATCCCATCAGTTTTTACTTTCAGTAAAACTATATATAAATAATAAAATAAAAAAAGAAGATATTGTTTTATCATCAGATTTCATGTTCACCATTCCTAATATCATCCAAAATACCTTCAAAGTTTGCTATAGTTTAGCTCTAATATAAACAAAATCATACAGGCATTTAAACAGGTTTGACGGAGAATCCAATTCAAACGTTTATACAAAATCATTTATGGCTATAGAATTATGATTCATCAAAAAATGTTAATGCATCGTCTTGAAACAATGTCATTAATGGATGAATTTACGACTCAGAAGTGTGACAGATATTCCGTTAAACTGAAAAGAAGTCAAACCCTACGTAATTACTGCTATCAGTTTAACGATGCCAGTAGGAGCAATGAGTTTAGAAGTTGGAAATTTTCAAGGCAGAAAGCTCCTTCTTAAAGCGTCCGCCATGCGCGGATAGGTCAGGATCCTGTGCGCACAGCTTCACATTGTTACCGTCTACAACTGGCCCCAGCCAATAGTTAACAGCCATTTCTTTGACGACGTGCGACGTGGAAACTTTCAAACCCTTTCGCCAATAACTTATAAATTTTGTAAACAAGAGACAGACATTTCAATTTCAATATTATGTAACAAATTAATCAACTCTAGGGGCATAGTTATACTAATTTTCTACGTATAATAATGGTTGATCCAAGCAAATTTTGGGCCCTGAGCAAATACAAAAAATGAGGCTTTAAACTGGACCATATGTAACAAGTATGAGTTAAATACTAATAAGATCACTCAACTTATCCTATTCATTGGGCCGGGCCTGTATACCTAGAAAATTAATCAATTTTTAATCAACTAATTTTCTATGTAACAAGTTAATCAATTATTAAGTTTTTGTATCGTATAACAACTTTTGTTATAGTGGCAATAATGGATCCAGAACAAAAATATTGGAGTCCATAATATAATTAATATAATATGAATTGTATTATTTTAAAATTTTAAAATTAAAATATTTTTTCTAAATTAAATGGTGGGACCACCAGGATCAAGCCTTTTGTAATTATTTTTCTTCTTTTTTGCTTTGTCTCTTCCAATACGAGGTTGTGTTTCATCCCTTTTTTGGCTGTTATCATCTTCACATTATCGTCATTTAAATCAACACAAAAGGTTATGGTCCTACTTATTCATTTGACTTTTGGGAGCAGGAGTTTTATTTTTCATAATCTATGTAAATTTCTTTGTAGAGGAAAGTTTGATAGTAAACACATACATAAGGCTCGAAAAAAACTATAGTACATACAATTCTATAAAAAATTTCCTATATACAGTCAACTCTATAAAATTTAATGGAACATATATAAATATTTATTTAAGAATTATACACCTTTTTCCTTTTCTCCATTAAAGGGTTCAAAGGTCATTGAACTTCAAATATATTAGATTTCATCTAATGAATGACAATAAGGCTTGCCGCCTCATTCAACTTTTCCATTGTCGATACTCTATCTTCCATTGTTGATACTCTATAAGTTTGTTGCAAAAATCAAAGTTATTTATCATCACATCTGAAAGAAAAGTCTTACTATTTTTCTATGTATAGAAATTTATTAGATGTCTAAAATAAAATTCAAACTCATAATCAATTTGATCTTCTAATGTTGTGATCATGGAATGCTTGTGACCACATGACTAAATGTATACTGTCTATTGTTGAAGATTACAAAAGAAAAAGAATATTACTTTTGAAAATCTTTCCCATTGTCTTTGAAAGCAACTTATCATTTTTGTATAAAGTATGAATTGTTATTAATAGATGTTTCACAATGGACAAGTTTACTTTGGTTAACGAGTCAAAATAAGTACTTAATTCTTATTAAATGGTCACTAATATGTGGTTTTACTAATCAACTACTCCTTAAACAATAATTCTTTTTTTGCCCTACACAACAATTTATACTTCGGAGGATTATACAATTTGTATATTGTACAACCTATAATACATAGATTGTTATGTATGACAAAAAATTATTATGTATGATCAGCTTCCAATTAAAAGCTATTTGAATACATTATGGACAACTTTTCATTGGTTTGATCCATTTAGCTCATTATATATATATATATATATATATATATATATATATATATATATATATATATATATATATATATTAAATTCAAAGGATCTTAGTAACAGTAAATTTTTTGATTTTAGGTTTTTGCCACAAATGTTTGGTGCATTTGACATTTTTTGTCCCTAAAATCAAAACTTTTACATTTTTATGTTTTGATTAAGTTTTTATGACTTTAGGTTTTTGCCACAAATCTTTAGTGACTTTGGCACTTTTAGTCCTTACAGTCAAAAGTTTTACATTTTGGTGTTTTTGCCACAAAGCTTTAATGAATTTGACACTTTTCGTCCTTGTAGTCAAAACTTTTACATTTTGATTAAAAAACACAAAAAACCTCTTTTAGAATTTTGCCACTATATTTACCCAACTTTGGCAACTTTAAAAAGCGGCGGAGCCGCGTGTCCTTTTCTAGTATAGATTATTTTCTTGTGTATTGGAAAGAAATATAGATAATTATGTTTCTATTTTAACTTTTAATAGATAAATCTAATGTATATCACACATTCTTTCTTAAAATAGCAACATCAAAATACCAAAGAAAATTGGCAACTTTGATTTATAATCGGTGGTAGTCATTATTTCCAAAATATTTGGAGGATAATTGTTTTATGGTTCTTTCCATCGTTCAAGTTTGCAATAAAACAACAAAGAGGAACTATCACCCAATTGAAAAACTTGAAGAGAAAATATTCAAGTTGCAAAGTTAGCAACTTGATTAAAGTAAAAAACTTTTAGGAAGCAAAAAGTTAGATTTGTAATATTATATGTCGACCCCCGGTTTGGGCCATGTGGAGAGTCGATACCCACTTGTATAGCAATCACCAATTGTTGTTTGTTTAGAAACAAATGAGACAAGAGGGGCAAGCCAATCCAAACAAAATATCCATATCTTAGTTTGACACATTGTAGGCCTAGTGAACTGGCAGTAGGCTATATTTTGTAACCATGATCCATATTTTCTGAAATATAATAAGTGGGCATCATTTGTTGATTCGGCTCGATCATTTAATAAAATCAAAACCAAATTTTAAAGATTCTGTTTTTTAATTACATGTAATTTTTTAACATAGTTAATCAATTAAACATATAAAATGACATTGGACATTGCATATCATTTTGGCTGATTTGTATATAGGGTATGTTTGACAAATTTAGCCCATAACCGGAAACCATAACTCTTATTTGCGTAAAAGTATTTGATAAAAGTAGTTATTTAAAGTAGACAAAATTACAAAAATGGTCCCTATGGTTTGCCAAAAGTAACAAACTTAGTCCCTATCTATTTTTTTTATTCGTTTGGCCCTTGTGGTTTGTAAAAGTTGCATTGGAGGTCCTTTTTCATAACTTCGTCTGTTTGTAACCGTTTGGTGTCATCAATGTGGGGGTATATTCGTCTTTTTATGTTTGGCGCTCATTTAAGATGGATTAGGCAGTGATACGTCATTAAGCTATCCTCTGATTAACCAGAGTCCAAGAAACCCCCCTTCATCTCCACTTCACTTTAGCTTACTGATCATCTTGACGATCTTCATCCTTCATCCCTCGCATCCGATTTTAGGGTTTATCAACTAAAAATTGTACTGTGTATGTGGAATTTACGTGGTCCTCATACGATTGCACCCGACCTTGATAAATATTACAGTGAGTTATTTAATCTTTTGTTTGGTGTTTCTTGGTTTGTATATTCAAATCTCATCGATTTTTCTTTTCAGATGGTCACGACAATTTCTTCACTTTAAAGATACATCATGGTGGATTTTTTACAAAGTTCCCTGGAAGAAAATACGCCGAGGGAAGGTTGGCATTCTTTGACTTTGTTGACACTGATCTTTTTCAGTTCATGATCTAAATGACATGATTCGTGAGATAGGGTATTCTAAGGATGACACAATGTACTATCATTATAGAATTCCTAATGTAGACTTAGATTTTGGATTGAAGGCTCTAGGAAATGATCAAGACGTCATATCTATGGCTCAATATGTCCCTCAAAACAGAGTGATTAATGTGTACATTGAACATGGTTCTACAAGACTTCACACTTACTTCATGTCCCCAAGTAAAGTTGTTATTGAGCAACTGGATGATGATCCTTCTCCTGAACTTAATAGGATTAGGCTCAAGAAGAAAGGAATTGGTTCTTGTAGCAAGAAATTAGACATGAATGTCCCACTTAAAGAATCAGCTAATCAAGAACAGAGAGAAGATGGTGCGTATGATTTTTCCATGTCCCTTGTTCCTTTTGAGCCAAACAAACAAGATGTGCTTAATGAGTTTAAGGATGATTCGTATTTCCCTTTACCAAAAGAAACTGATACAATGCAAGAAATTACAATTGATATTAATTGTCAGGACCATAGGGAAATACTAGATGATTTTGAACCTTTTAGTAGTGATGGATATCAGAATATGGGTGAGTTTGAAAGAGAGGTTGAAGTTGAAGAAGAACAGGATGAAGAAGATGAACAAGGGCATGCAGAGGATTCAAAAGATGATTCAGAAGAGCATACAGAAGAAGAGGATGATTCTGACTACATTGTTGACCTAGGAGCTATTTTAGATGACTAGGAGGTTGATATGAGAGAGTTTAACAGTTGTGTGGATGAGGTTGAATGGTTTGGACAAGGACCAAACATAGAATTAGATTTAAATCAAGATGATGATTTAGGTGTGATCAACAATGATGAGTTTGAAAGTGCAGGATATAAGGAAGACCTAAGGAAGAGAATGTTAAAAAACCTGAACAAGAAGGTGCCTTGTTCTTCTGGGGTAGTTCATGTTACACCATTTTTTGTGGGTCAAGGTTTTAAAACCAAAAAGGATATACAGGGTCACATGAAGATGCTTTCAATAAAAACAAGGAGGGCCCTACACATGCCTAAAAATGAAAAATTGAGAGTAAGAGTAAAATGTAAAGGGGTGGTTCCAGATTCCACTGGTGGTGGGCCCTCCACTGTAAGTAAAGTAACATCGAAGGGCAAAACTGTAATTTCACAAAAAGATTCTTGTCCTTTTGCTATTCAGATATCTAGATCTACGGAAGAGGAACAATGGTTGGTGAAGACAGTTATTGATGAGCATTTATGCTTACAAAGTAGAAATGTGAAGGCATGTACATCTAGATACCTGGCAAGCACTATTCTCCAAAAAGTAGATTCCGACCCTCGCATCCCAGTAACAGCCTTACAGGAGGAGCTTCAAATGGATTTGGAATTAAGCATATCAAGAATGAAGGTGTTCAGGGCTAAATCAATTGCAAAGGAACAACTATATGGTGACTACGAAAGGCAATATAATTTGCTGAGAGATTACTGTTTGGAGTTACAGACTAATAACCCAGGTACAACAGTGAAGCTGGAAGTGTGTAATGAACCAAATCTTGATGTTGAAACTCGTATTTTCAAGAGGATATACATTTGTCTTGGAGCACTTAAGTTGGGGTTCAAATCTGGAAAAAGGGAATTACTAGGATTGGATGGATGTTTCTTGAAAGGACCACACCCTGGACAAATTCTAACAGTTGTGGGTCTTGATTCCAACAATGGAATATATCCACTAGCTTATGCAGTTGTGGAAGCTGAGACAACAAGCTCATGGACATGGTTCTTGGAATGCCTTGGTGGTGATTTGGATTTGGATGCATCATGCAACTTCACTTTTGTATCCGACAGACAAAAGGTATGAATACATATAACATAAGTCTCTTTTAAAGCTTGTAACAATACTAACTATAAATTACATTATATGTAGGGAATAATACCTACAATAGCAAAAGTGTTTCCAAATGCAGAGCATAGATGGTGTTTGAGACATATACATGAAAACATGAAGCTGCAATGGAGGGGGGAAGAGTTTAGAGATCACTTGTAGAGGTGTGCTACAAATACAACCATTAGACATTTTGAAAGGGCAATGAATGAGTTCAAAGATTTCAGTGCAGAGTCTCATGAATGGCTAGGTAAGATTCCTCCAGTTCATTGGGCTAGGTCTCATTTCACAGGTAGAGCCCATTCAGATTGTCTGTTAAACAATCTGTGTGAAGTATTTAACTCTAAGCTAGAGCATGGTAGGGACAAGCCTATCATTACCTGTTTAGAGTACATTAGAGTGTACTTGATGAAGAGACATTGCATTGTACAAAAAGAAATTGATAAATGCAAAAGTATATTAACCCCTACTACAACTACTATACTTGACACAATCAAAACAGCTGCAAGCAAATATAGGGCACTCTTTTGTGGTTCTGGAAAATATCAAGTGACTGGTATGATGTTTGATCAGTATGTGGTCAACTTGAAAGAGGGGACATGTAGTTGTAGGTATTGGGAGATAACAGGGATAGTCTGCAGGCATGGAGTTTGTGCAATATGGGAACATATTCAAAATGGTGAAAAAGCCCAAGAACCTGAATATTGGGTGCATTTATCGTTGTAATGATTAATGTGGTGAACATTTCCAGTTACTAGCCATATTATGTCATGCTACATTTCTAGTTGTAATGATCAATGTGGTGAACATTTCCAGTTACTTATCATGTTTTGATCTTGTGTGTTTCTCATTCCATTCCATTGTTTGATAAATGACCAAAACTCGTTTCATTCCATTGTTTTTTGATAAATGACCAAAACTTATTCCATTCCATTGTTTACTTATAATGTTTTGATCTTGTATTTTTCTCATTCCATTCCAATGTTTGATTAATGGACAAAACTCTTTCCATTTCATTCTAACATTCTTGATCAATGACAAAAAAACAATGATTTAGAATTACCACAATACAAAATACCATTAAACTGATTAACCAAAATCATACATTACATTAAGATTCTAATACATGACATCTCATCCCAAAATCAACTGGTAATATCCCATTCCGGTTCTATACACCCATCCGACATTACATATCCAAAATACATCCCAAAATACACTTACCAAATACATCCCCAAATCCAACTACTACTTAGTGCATACATATATAAACGAAAAAAAAAGAACCAAGACAGAAGAAGCATCCACTTCAGCTTCACAGCATCTGCACGAGCTTGAATCAACATCATTTGAACATTGTTCAGTTGCCTTAGCAAGCCAGGAATCACCTCCACAGCTCTATGGCACATCGGATCGTCCACCCACCCAAAAAATGGACAGCTTCGACCGTTTCGAGCACAAGACCAAAATCGCCTTCCTGGGTTGAGGTCCGTCCAAGATGTGACTCTCACAGCAACACTTCCACACGTACAAATCACCATTCTTGGAAGAGGAGAGCTTCGATTTTTCAGAGATGGTAGCTTGATTTTTCTGAACGTTGACTAGGGCTTTTTAAAGGAGGTGGAGAAGGTAATGTGAAAATAGCAAAATACCCCCATATTTTTTTAACTTAATCACCCAAACAGCTACAAACAGACGGAGTTATGAAAAAGGACCTCCAATGCAACTTTTACAAACCACAAGGGCCAAACGAATAAAAAAAATAGATAGGGACTAAGTTTGTTACTTTTGGCAAACCACAGGGACCAATTTTGTAATTTTGTCTTTAAAGTATATAAAATGACATAAAACATAAAAACTAAAAGCTCTAAAAAAACTATCCAAAAATAGCTTTAAGATTATGAAGTTTTTATGTAAAATAAAAGTTTAGCTTTTACTCACGATTGAAAATTTTTAGTTTAAGTTCTCTTAAAATCTAAAAGTTAAAAACTATTAAAAACTCTCAAAAGCTAGTTATCGAATATAACTATAAAAAATCACACCTAATTTGTCTCTAAACCGTTTTGTTTTTCGGTTATACTTTTTTTTTTTCCAATTTTAGATTCGTTTTCAGTTTTTTTACACGCCCTATACAAAACCTTTGAAACATCATCACCTAGCAACAAGCTTGTCATTCGGTTTTTATTGCAGAAACACAATTACAAGCAACAGTCAAAAACTGATCCGACTATTTTGGTGACATAGTCCGGTTTCGTAAAAAGCTTTATCACCCAATTCTTATCACAGATAACACAGCTATAAGTCCATAAACATAGATGAAGTATTTTTTTTAGGCGTTTTAAAATATGGAACCCGTAGACCAAAGTCAACAAATCATTATATTCAAGAAAGATCTTCAACAAAGGAAGGTTGTTCACGTGCATATCTTTAAACTCTTTTGGTAGCCTTTTATAATGTAAAATTTAAAAGCAATCGACTTTTATAATTATGATACAAACCCATAAAAGATTTATAGCCAGCCGTTTTATGTATGTCATTGCCATTGAGCATGCAATGAAGACTATAGCCATGTCTTTTGCACAAACAAGAATTTTTGTTCTATTGACACTGCTATGTATCCCAATCTCAATCGACTACACACAAAACACATTACAATCTGTTTTGTTCTGTCCTATGTCACCCTCACTTTCAAGGCACTGGATTATAAATCCAACAACTTTTAGATCAACTAACTAAGACTATGACAGAGAACTTACTAACTATTTAAAGCAATCATAATCGATTTGAGACGGGATGCAACTTTCAACACATAACCCAATTGTACGTATAAAATCACAAGAAAAAAAAAAAGAACACAGAAATCAAACCCTGTGTTTGAAGGAGGATATTCAACAAAACATATGTTACTACTGGTTAGATTAATAATATAACCTGAACATGAACATGAAGATGAAGATGAAGATGAAGATGAAGATGAAGATGATTCTTCTTAGTCTTTGTTGGCAACATGTAAATCCTCCAACTTTGATGCAACTACTTCAAGGGGTGAAGGTGAAGAGTGCTTGCTTGGGCCATTTAAAGCAGTTGTGGGTGTGGGTGTGGGTGGCTGTGTCTGCCATATTCTTACGGTTCCATCTTCTGAGCCGGATGCGTATGATTCACCTCCCGGTGAGAACCGTACTGAATGGACCGGACCATGGTGACCTTTGCAGATTGCTACAAACACAAAAATAAATAAATAAACAACAATGTACTCTAATTAATCTCAACCTTTTTATCCCACTATAGCTAAAATAGGGCAAAATGGAAGAAGAATAAAACAACATACTTTCATTGTCTTTTCTTATCATAGCATCATACTTTCATTGCTTTCAATTACATAATTGTACTTCCAAGTTTTTTGTTTTAAAAAAAAATCTACCCAATTATAACACTGTAATTTCCATTTGTTATATCTATCCAATTATAATAGTGAAAGTTCATTTGTATTTGGATGAAATTGCTATAAAATGCTAGATTTTTCAATGTACAATGTTGTAATAGGAAAAAAAATAAGATGATAAAAACAACAAAATGTAAGTATGTTTGCTATTTCTTGCATTTACGCAAAAAATATATAGCAGAATTTCACATAAAATCAATAAAAAGAAATTTGCTTACCAATCTCTTCGCCAGTATTAAAATCAAAGAGACGAATCCACATGTCTTCCCCTCCAGCAATAAACTTATTACCAAACTTTGGTTCCAGTGATGCTGATTCCACAGTACATGGCATATCATAGCTCTTCACCAGTCCAAAACTAAAAGCAAAAAAAAGGATTTTAAAATTTATGAAATATGTATTTTGTACAGATTATAGAAATTGAGAGAGTTTATTTGAAACTTACTGATTTGCATCCCAGAACTTGACACTAGATCCATCTGCAGTGGTAATATAATGTCCATCTTTACTTACTTCAGCACTTGTCACAGATGATTTTGTTTCTAGTGTATGGACAATTTTGCCACTTCTCACATCCCATAGCCTAAATATTTATTACATGTGTCAAAATGGCCAGATTTGGTCGAAACATATAAAGTTTTAGGGCAAGTTGACTTGACCCACCAACACTTTTTTATTCATTTTTTGAATTTTATTAGTAACTTCTAGGGCAAAAATAAAACATTATTTTTTGCAATCAAAACCACAGAAGTTCCCAGCAATTAATTAACCATTTTGACCTGTTATATCCAGTTTCACAGGTAACCTTCCAAATTAACCATTTTGATGAATACAAAAGCAACCATTAAAAAAACTAATCCAATTATCTTTAATACAACAATTTAGAAGGTTGTGAACACTTGAGTATACTTGTCTACTTGACCTTTTCACTTTTTAGCCAAATTTCTTTAAATTTTAACCGTTTGACCTAGTAACAAAACTAACAGTAAAACATAACTCAAAATAGACCTATATTCATATAAACTGATGAAAATTGACCCTAACCCTAAATAGAAAACATAAGAAAGTGTACAAAAAAAAAAAGTTGTGAATTATTGTGTTAATTGCATACCTTACACCTCCTGAATCAGAGCAAGAGCTTAATATAGTTTGGTCACTATGAAGCCATGCAACTGTCCTCACAGATCCGGGGCTAGACTTCTCAACTTCCCGTGGGGTTGCATCCGGACGATTTAAATCAAATATGCGAAGTATCTTCTCAAAACCACCCGTCAGTAGAAGATGTGTATCCTATATATTAAACAAAATTTGTTATTTTTTATATTATTTATAAGAAAAAATCACGTTTTTTGGTAAAAATATGAAATTACCTCAGAGAAGGAACATGCCCGAACAATATGTTTGTGGTCAAACGAGTGCAGTTCATCCCCAGTTAATGCATCCCATATTTTCCTGCAAAAAGAAAGATCAATTATATTAAAAGCATGTTACAATTTCAATTTATCAATAACAAGTACAGAAAAAATCTTTTTGAAGTATGCATTCTAGTGACAACAATTATTGTTTCATGATCTTTTATACCATATATAAATGAGAAAAGAAAATGTTTGACTACATACGCAGTGAAATCAGCAGATGCTGAAGCAGCACGAAGGGCATTAGTGTCCAAACAGCAACTCCACACTGCACCTTTATGCCCCTCAAAAGTTCCAATCCAGTCCCCAGTCTCTCCATTTCTAAGCATAGGAGTGGAATCTGGAAGACAAATCTATGATTGCTTAAAACAAGGGTTTGTAATGTAATTTTACATTTATCACAGTAATCAACTATCTTACAAGTTAGTGACTTACAACTACTTTTTACCTAAAAATCGATTAGTTTGACCCTAGATAATCAGAAAAACAACACACAACCAAATTATCAAAACAATCACGACTGATTGTCAGCTAAAAATTAAGCTCATATAAGCCTCCTAGCCATTAAAGATACTATAACTATACTCAAAAAGTTATGATCATTCAACAACAATAACATGTAGGCACTTAAGAACAAAAACTGGAGTCGAGTTTCACTCAGTTACAGCATGATCCTTTCTACATTTATATTAGAGCAATGAAATGAAAGACAGATGTATTTCATAGAGCAATAATATCATGAAGCAAAACACAGAGCTCATAATACGACATACCCTTGCTGGCACTGATGAGGAAAAACCCATCTGGAGTAATCGGGCTGTAAAACAAATCCACCACCGGGCGAGAATGACCATGGCATACAAGAGGGACAGCCACTTTCTTCTTATCCATTATATCTCTTAAATACTAAAACTACACAAAATAAAACCTAAAATACGATCTTTTTTTAGTTTCAAACCCAAATCACAGTCCTCGATCCTAATTCTAGAAATCAAGGACTTATAGCCTAGAAATCGACAACTGACCTACAAAAACTCGCACAATTGCCTGAACAAAATGTCTGATGTTCGTATCAATAAACAAAATCTTACATAAATACTTTATAATATACGAGTAGAATACGAGGTAATGACGGCAATCAACGCAGGTGGGAAACCTAATTTTTGAAGTTCTGATCGCTTCTGTCTGATGAATCCACACCTCCTAAACCCAACATCAATGGAGAATAGATCAAACTATTTATGTGAATCAAAACTAAAGAAAAAAAAGGAAAAAATATATATAATACTAAGATAAAAAGATATGCGTATAGAGGGCTAGGCGCAAGGCTGCCGTTGAGGCATTGCTTGAATTTATAGTGTCCAAGCTCGGGCTTTTCTTTCTCGGTGATGGTCCCTAATGTTTCATGGTTGTGTCATTAAACCCCCCATTAACTTTTTGAGTGTCCATCTATACTCCTTGTTTCTTTTATTTACAAACATACCTCCTGTCTTCATCTATAATCAATTAATCACACTAAAAAAGTCGCTTTGTCTTAAGGAGAGGGGGGGGGGGGGGGGGACTTTAATTCGTGTATCATAAATGGGTTCCCCCGCATCCACTGTGACTCCCTGTTTTTCGAGGTTTTGGAGACGAGGGCTCACCTTTAGCGATGATACTAAACAACCTTTTCAAGATCATGTCGTGCACCATTCTCATGCCCATTTCCTAATTGAAATCCTCGGGACTCGAACTCTAACCCCCATATTAGGAAGCAGTGTCTTACCTAGTAAATCACTACATTCATGGTTTAATTTATGTATTATATAATGATATAATGATTTGCATACACGTTCTATTTTATTTCATATATGTTGCATCTCGTTATGGATCCAAATCACCATAATCATTTATAACATAAATTTCAACATCCTTATAAAGTATTAGAAATTTTTATAATAGATCTATTATTGACATGCATTGCATAAAAAGAGAGTGAAATTTTAAATTGAATTTTATGACTAATGTAAAAGAGTTTATGTTAAAACAATTAACAGATAATTTTAAATAAAATAATACATTATGTTATAAGCATCTAAACACTTTGTATTACTTCTCAACATATTTAATCCGTTTTATTATTATCATAGCCCTAGAGTTTTACTCATTAAACTTCTTAACCATACATTAAAGCTTTATGAGAAAGTGTTTGAAACTAGGATAAGACAAATCACATCAGTAGCTAAAAACCAATTCGGCTTCATGCCTGGGAGGTCCACAACTGAGGCAATCCACATACTTAGACGTCTTAGAGAGAAGTTTGGAGAAAGAAATAGGGGCCTTCATATAGTGTTTGACCTTGAAAATCCATGTGATAGTGTTCCAAAGGAGACGATCTGGAGGACTTTGGGAGCGAGAAAGGTCTCAAGGTGTTGTATTAGGGTCATACACAACATGTGTCCGAACTACAGTTGGTGATATAAAGTCTTTCCCTATCTGAATTAGGCTCCACCTGGTTTCGTCACTTAGCCCTTACATATTTGCCTAACTACGAACGAAGTATCACACGAGATGCAGGGAGAGGTACCATGGTGTATGCTTTTGCAGGCGATATTGTTTTGGTTTGCAGAGACTATGATTGAGTTGAATATCAGGTTGGACACCTGGGGAAGGGGTGTTAAAAGAAAAAAAAGGCTTAGGATCAATACAAGTAAGATTGTGTATATTAGGTGAAATTTTAGATGAGAGCGAAATGGAGAAGGGGTAAAAGTTTTGTAATGATGAGCAAATCCTACAACTGAATGAAAGCTTCAAGTACCTGGGGTCTATGATTCATATAGATGGGGTTTTGAGGATAATGTCGCTCACCATATTAAGGGGGGGGGGGGTGGATAAAATGGAGAGCGGACATTAGAGTCTTATGTGATAATAAGGTCCCACCGAAACTTAAGAGGAAATTCTATAAGGGGTTGTAAGGTCGGCTATGTTGTATGGATTTGAATGTTGGTCGACTAATAAGGATCATGAGAGGAAGATCAAGGTTGTTGAAACGAGGATGTATGGTGGATTTGTGGTAGAACACTATTGGACCGAGTTCCAAACTCGACTATTAGAAACTCGCTAGAAGTGGTGATAATCAACGATAAATTAAAGGAAGGAAGATTGTGGTGGTCTGCACATGTCCGTATGAGATAACTAATTCTTTCGCTTAGGAGGATGGAGATAATTATTGTGGATGGGGATAATTATTGTGGATGGGGAGAGGATGAAAGGACTCCAACGAAGAAAGTGAATAGATAAAGTGATGTTAGACCTGGAGGAGGTGGGTCTTTGTGAGGACACGACTTCAAATAAAAGGGTGTGGACGCATATGACCATAGTAGTCAAGTAGTATATGAATAATCCTACGAGTTTAGCATTTGTTTGTACCTTTAGTCCTTTAGTCCTTCAGACGAGCCTTTGTTTGCGCTGGATGCGAATCTGACACTTGTTCATTTTTACTGTATATTTGTATCTGCTAGAAACTATTCCAAGTTTGTACTTAGTGTTTTCTACACGCTTTATTATTATTATTTTGCTTAAATTGCTCGTACATGTAAACCTTTCACATGTTAGGGCAACCTTTGTTTGTGCTTGCATCCATATGACTTAGTCGTTTGCTTTCCATCTTATTATATGTTGTATTTGATATTAATTGCTCGTGATATTATGTCATGTGTTTGTTCCATGTATTATTTCTACTATTTGCTTAAGTGTCATATGTTTATATAATTTACACATGTCTACCCAAATCCTCCTTATATTCGTCTTTATTGTTTATACCTTCTTTTTCTTTAGTCGTTTTATTTTTCTTATATGCGAGATGGTGGACTAATGTGTGTTATGAAGAATATCTTAGTCAACGAGACACATTTTAGCTATTTTAATTATTTAACTACTCGTTTTTATTTTTCTTATATGATAGATGACAAACTAATATGCAGGAGATCTTAAACAACGAGACACATTTTGACCCTTTTTTAATTGTTTGTTGGAGTTTGGGAATAGGTTTGGCTGCCCACCATCTTACCTCTCATGTACCTTATTCTTATGAGACTGGGGGTTATGTTATTGTTGTTGTATGACTAATATATCACAGAGATTTTTTTAAGAAGATGGATCAAAATCGTCATATCTACTAAATAACAAGGGCTCAAGTGTTATATATGCACATATAATGATATAATTCAACAATCGAGTCCGATCGTCTTCCGATTCTTCGAGACCCTCTGCTTTCACCATCTCTGTACATAAATATCTCAGTCCGCTCTACTCGAACTTGTTAATCGAAAGACATTAATCGTCCCAGAGAGATCCAGCGAACGGAAACGCTAATTCGGCCGGAGGAATTCCGTATTCAAGTGGCGGGAAAATGTCGGGAAAAGGAGCAAAAGGCCTGATAATGGGGAAAGGATCTTCCTCTGCAGTGAATGGATCAAGCAACAGAGATAAAGACAAGAAGAAATCCGTCACTCGCTCTTCGCGCGCCGGTCTTCAGGTCACATCTCTCTCCCTTTCTCTCTCTCTCTCTCTCTCTGTATGTGTGTGTATAACATATACTCAAATAAACACACGCAGACGTATGTATGTATATCAAATGAATACTAGTGATTACTGGAAGTAAAATACATTTTCGAAGACTCTGTTGACCTCATTCCAGTTGTAATCAGTAGGTGCAGAGTCTGAGATCTAGTCCGATGAGTTTGTTTACGCGAACTGTTTTTCACGAGAATAGATGCGTTCATCTCCGACACGGAGATTGTTTTGCGATTTTATTTAAAATCAAGTTAATTTTACTTTTTTACACACTTCTAACACTCTGTTCTTCTTACACACGATCGAAGCTATACGAATGGTTTTCATCGCAAAATCCAAACACAATTGTGTTTTATGCATTAATGAATAGTTATAAACACGTATCTAATCTCGATTAATTATTGTAGAAATACTTCTTTGGATTTTTAAAAAGAACAACGGATAAGTTTTTTCACATCAAAGTGGTTTTGTTAAAAATATATTTTAATTGTAATACTTTGCTATAAGATTTGAATGAGTTAGTGATTCGATTTGTGCAGTTTCCTGTGGGTAGAGTTCATCGTCTTCTGAAGATGAGAGCTATGTCTAATGGAAGAGTTGGAGCAACTGCTGCAGTCTACACAGCAGCTATACTAGAATACCTCACAGCTGAAGTTCTTGAATTAGCTGGAAATGCAAGCAAAGATTTAAAAGTGAAGCGTATAACACCAAGGCATCTGCAACTTGCTATCAGAGGTGATGAAGAGCTAGACACACTCATAAAAGGAACCATCGCTGGTGGTGGCGTTATTCCTCACATCCACAAATCCCTCATCAACAAATCCTCCAAAGAGTAAAGTGTGACCTTATAAGTATTTCCGTTGTTTCTTGTTGTTTTTTTTTTTTTTTTTACTTTTTTAATGAACTAAGAACCATGTTTTGAAGATTATGATGAATCTAATTTCAAAATTCAAAATCTCATATTCACAGATATTATGTGACGTAGTAAAAGAGGCTTAAACCATAGGAGTCCAAAAACTAGATTACAATAAATAACAGGAGAAAATAACCTTTTGAGGTGTGATTTGAGTTACAACTCCTATGAATTTTCATGTATAAAACAAAACTATTTATCTGCTTTACTTAACAGTTTGCTGATGAAGGGTAACATTGCTGCAAGCAACACCTTTGGGCACTCCTCATGAGGCAGATGACCACAACTTGATATTGCAACTAATGTCTGCAAAAGTATACATGTCATTATTTTGTCAAATAACAAAATGTATAGAAAATCAGAAGAATGTTGCAAGAATCATTATTTTATCAGACATACTCACAGAATCTACAAACTTAGATGACATGGCTTGGACAGATTTTAGAGGTACAAGGGCATCTTCAGCTCCTGCAATGACCAAAACTGGGGTGTCTTTCACTGCTTTCACTAATAAGGATGCATTTTGCTCTGAGAGGACTGTATCAGATGATAATCTACCAATCTCATACAAAGCTTCATCCCAACCTTCTACACATAGTGGGGCCTGCATAATAACTGCTGATTAGATCACCACAAAAAGATTAACATAACGGGTGTAAATGAAAGAAATAGCATCCCACTTTCACTGGTTTGTTTATTATAACAACCTACTTTTGTATCTTTCTATTACAACATTGTACTCTGAAAAATCTACCTAATTATAGCAATGTCATTTAGATATTGTGCCATTTTCATTGCTATAATATGGTAAAATCTTCAAAGTATGATGCCTTGATAAGATAAAATAACTAAAGCAGATGCTATAATATACGAATCAAGGTTATATGTTTGTGTATAATATACCTTGTAGAGGCTTAACACATCTGTTGTTAGCTTGGTAGCATCATACCATGCCCTTCGATTAAAAACTTGACAGATTTCTGTCCGGAGTAGAGAATGAACCAAATGCTTCTTTCCTAAAGAAGTACGCATCAGTATTCTAGCCAACCCAGGAACTACTTCTCTTGACAAACTTACTGTCAGCAAAACCATCCCCTTAATTTCCACCTGAAGAACAATTTACTTTTCACTAAATCTCAAATTTATAACTTAATAAAAAAAAAATAATAAAGATTGTTGGTATGCACAAATTTTATATAAGCTTACATCAACAGAGCTTAATGATGACCGGACTCTTTGTGCTGCCTTTAATGCGAGCAAGCCTCCATCATCATGACCAACAAGCACAACAGAAGAAAGCCCAATCTCTTTACAGAAAGAAATAAGCATGTCCACCTGGAAATTATTTTGAATACGAAATTAACATAACAGTCTTGTACTATGTTTGGCATGCATTGGACTCAGACTGATGTGGACATTACCTGGGTATCAAGCATGTAAGGATTGGGTAATTTATTAGCTTCCCAATCCTCTCGCCTTGGTCTAGAGGTCAAACCCCAACCAGGACGATCAAAAGAAGCAACAATACAATTCACCTGTCGAGACAACAAACCCATCACATGCCTCCATGAAAACACTCCCCCTCCAAAACCATGCACTAAAACAATCCCAAACTGCCCATTAACTTCACAGACTTTTTGACCAAATCTATCCTCATTAGTTCCTTCATTATCTTCAGAAAATACAGGGGAACTCGTGCCATCTAGTAATGGAGCATAAAGAGAAACATCTTGAATTTGAATGCTATAACTCCTTCGAAGATGATGTTGTGTCTTTGAAATTGCACGTAAAGATGGATTTTCAAGAAGAGTTGTAGAGGATAAAGTACGAGAAGGTGGAGTAGGTGTGCTAAGTTTGTAGTGGATGCTCAAATCATTCCAAACCATGAATAAACTATCCACATCAGCTAGTAATCTAACTGGAAACTCTCCATGGCTATGACCTACACGTTTTCTTCTGATTTCATTGTCACTTTTCTGTGCCCTGTCAGCAGCAGGAGTTGAAGATCTTGAAACTTTAGCATAACCGATTGAAAATAAAATTTGGCTCAAAAACACCTGCATTGTAGTAAGTAGAAACAAAATCATTCAAAAAAGATGCATATATGATCATATAAGTTATTATTATAACGTACCGATTCAGGATCAACTCGGTTGAACATGAGCTTCCTTCGAGCTCTGCAACTTGTTCGATAAGCAATAACAGTATGACCAAGAGCAAAAACAACAGATGATAAGAACAATACATGCATTCCCCATGACCTTTTCAGATGAAGCCTTTGTTTTGAAAGAGAAGATGAGGCTTCAGCTTCAAGCTGGGAATTGACTGTGAAGACACACGCTTTAACTGATAGAACAAGTACTGAGAAAATGGAGCATAATGTCACTGTTCCAAGATATTGGCCGTGTGAGAGCACAGGGCCATCGTACATCATATAAACACCTACAATCACAAAGGAATTTTAAATAAAGCTCTTCTAGTTTCTAACTAAAGTTAAAAGTTCAAGCTCGTGCTGAAAACAGCAGAAAATAATGCAAAATGCATAGTCATGAATAATGCATTGATGATTAGGAATGAAAAAAAAATGCAGGATTAATCAAAGTTGCGTACAGGTGATAATGAGAGATCTGGTAGCGGAAACGACAGGAACGTCGATCAATGAACTTCTGAAATCGTATCTACGCAAATGTTCCTTGAAACTGTAGCATCTAAAGCAGGTAAAGCTCGAAATTAGAACAGAAGGAACCAATATATCACCAATCGCAACCAAAATTGGAAGCCATAGGATCAATAACGACGCCAGCATCACAAGTAAGAAATGTAGTGTCCGTATAAATCTCCGTATCTTCTCAAATGATCCTCCCTTTTTTCCGGCAGCCATGGTTGTTCGAATTTCTCAAGTTTTCTCTAATTATGATAATCGTTGTTTCAGGTAGGTCCAGGAGTGTTACGAGATTGAAGAACCAGAAACGTGAAAACCCTAGCCGATGCCAGAACAAACGGCGGCGTATCAGCCATTTGACGCTCGCCGATGAATTAATGAACGTCCTCTCTTTTCTCCTATGTGTCTTAAGGTTTTAAATGGAAAAGAGTGTTATATCCATGGCTAGGGTTTGGTAGAAATGCTTGAAATCTGGTAGAAAATGGAAAAAAGGAATCTGAAAAAGCTTCGTGTTGTCTATGAAACAGAGAGACGACGAAGTCTGGTATATTTCGACGGAGGAGCTCTTTTGTTGTGATTCTCGTTTTCCAGTGAACCGGTGCATATTTTTATTATTAAAAAATTAAAATAATATAATAAAAAGAATATACACTTTATGTCAATAAAAATTGAGTTATTCAAATGTCAAAACCGGAATCCAATGTAGAATAGGCTATAAAAAATCCTGATCATAAAATGAATAAGTAAGATCTTACCAAAAATTACATAGTTATAAGTTTAAAACATGAAAATGCATTTCCATATCAGTTGATCGTAAGAACAGATCAGGACATTGAGATTTTACAAAAATGGCCCCTTTAGTCATTTACGATTCAAAAAGTGTAAAAAAAAATAGAAGGTAAATAGTACGAACCAATTGGGTAACAATTGGCTAAAATTTCTGATAAAATGGTAGGATTAGATCGGATACTGCTTTTACGATCACGATCTGCCAAATTCGATCCTACTACTATCTATATCATTTTTCAGAGTTACAATCGTAAGATCGGTATAAGTATACACAAGTATTTCAATATAACCATAATTTGTTTTTGGATCTAACAAATGACCAATTATTCCATCAAAAAGGGTCCATGAGTCGGCGTATATCATCCCAAAATTACGATAAAAATTTTCATTTTTAATTAAGTAAAATCTGATGGGTTTTGAGCATATCTACATTCATATGTAATCATGCAACCCTAATTGTTTTGGATCTAAGTTTTTTCTCTATTGAACATACAAATATGAATACCAAAGCAATAACCCTAGATCTAGTATGAACATTACCTCACTTGTTATATTGTAACAACAAGAAAAATCGCTAAAAGTGACAAACGTCAAGTATAATAGAGTTAATACGTAAAATTTATCAAACTATTATAAAAATATAAAATTTCGTATCAAAATATATAAGAAAAATCAGCCAAAACGTCCGACAAGCTAAAATTTAGTGTGCCAAAACACACACACACACACACACACACACATATATATATATATATATATATATATATATATATATATATATATATATATATATATATATATATATATACACGTCGATGTGACCCGGAAATATAAAATTTATAAAAATTTGACCTCGTATGAATTAATTATGAATTTTGATAAGATATAAAAGTCAGTCGAGCACAAAAATTTACAACGTCAAAACTACAAAGAGAATGGTTGACTTTTAACTAAATTCACCAAAAGAAGAATCATAGTACTCATCGAGATAAAAATTATGAGAAAAAGAACGCCAAAATTGGAGTTTGTACAAGAGGGATATGATTTTTGCAAAAATCATTAAATCGTATAAAAATAAAGTCCGAATTAGCCAATGCAACCTAAAGGAAAGTTGTATTACTCGTTGATAGTTACGCGTGGATATAAAAAAACGTCGAAAACGAAACTCGTATGAAGAAGTTACAGAATTTACAAAAACTATATTTTTCGCGGCGCGCAGTGTACAACAGGTGCACAACGTGCGCTTCTAGAAGGTGACACGTGGACCACCAGGAAAGTGACACGTGGCACCCCATGCACCATCCAAATGCACGCCGCGCACTCCCATTTTCACGGGGCGCACTCCAAAAAATTTTACTATAAAAGCACCCCATGCCCCCCCTCAATTTCACACAACCTTCTTCCTCTCTTTCTCTCGTTTATAGCTTCGAAAATCTCTATAAAACCCTTAGGAAATTCTATATTTATATATTTTAGATATTAGTAAGCTATACTCTCG